ACAGTTCTAAAAGGTAGGGACCAGATATTCTGTCTTGTTCTATTCTAACACCTGCCTGGCACATAGTGACTACGTGATGGACACCTTGGAGAATGCCTTCGTAGTTTGAGCCCTATTTTCTCAAAATATATGAGTTACTAGGGATGCCAAGGCTTACATACCATCTTCACAAATAGATAGCATCATCGGTCATCCTCTTTTTTGGCTCTATGAAGGCTGGTCAGGGAGCTCTTGCACCAAGCAGAACAAGATATTCTGGGGGGAATCTGCCAAGTGATCCCACTCCCACCTCTCTTTATTCCAAGGTTTCTGTAATCCCTTGACTTCTACTGACTTATGGTGTTGGCCACATAGTAAATGAAAGAAAAGTTTTCTGACTATTGTTAATCAGCAACAGAGAAGTTAATCATTCTTGGAGCCTCCCAGGCTTTGGAACTATGCCAAGGGTTCTGGAAACTATAGACATGAAATCTTGTCTTTGCTTTCTGGAAGCAGCAAGTCTCCCTGGCCTCTGTATCCTCTGAGACTGCACTGGAATGCATAGCACCTGTGGAAGTTCTGCTCCAGGGGTACTGCTGTGTACCATGCTGAGGGCACAGCTATGCAGGACTCTAGGTCTGGGCTCTAAGCCCAGTGTTGTCACGGACTGTGGGATGGCGACTTGGGCAATGCGAATGCTATTTTTTCTACAGAAACATGCTAGGTCCTTTCTGTCCCCTTTCCTATTGTTTATCTTTAGCGAGAATTGGTGGAGGTTCATTGACAGCTGATTCACACCAAGGCATCACAGTCCTTTGTCTTATCCCCAGCCCCTGGGCTTGCCATGTTCCTACTGAAGCACCACAAAGGGTTTGATTTAATAGACCTCGTAAAATTCACCCACCTTAACAGCAACTTTTCTATTGGCCAGTCCTAACACTCTAACTAGTAGACCTTTTTTATTGAAAGATTTTGCTATAGGGTGTGTACACTTGCCAGAGAGACAGAGACAGAGACACAAAAAGCAAGAAATCACACCCTCCCACCCCCCAGGGAGATGCCATGCTGCAATCCCTTCTCCTCTATTCTCCTCTCAGGATTTTAGGCATGCATGCACATGTATGCAGCATGAGTTTTAAGCCACAGGGTCCGGGACTTGAACTGTGGTAGACTACATGGGAATCCAGTGATGTAATCATTATACCATCTGCTGGTCCTCACTTTTTTTTTCTTTTATGTCCAATAATGCTTCCTGTAAAGAATTAAGGATAGGCTTTAAAGTAATTTATTGGGGGGAGGAGGTTGTTATTGACTGGTAGGGGAATAGGAAGTCTCTCAGCTGCTGGTCATGTTCCATTTGTCCATCTGGGTGTTCCTTTTATGAAAGATTTATGGGGATTTACAGTGATGATTTGTATGTCTTTCTGTATGTTTGTAATACTTCAAAATGAAGTTATTTAAAACAGTTTTTAGAAGATAACCTAGGCAAGCATTCACAGATATTTATAACTTAGTTAAAACAAGTAAGTGAGTAAGTGAACTTATTTCCAAAAGAGTTAGCTGTGTGCTGAGACTACTGCATACCGAGAGGGAAGAGAGTAAGTGACAGAAGAGGTGAAAGGTTACATTTGTGTTTGAACTTCAGCCTCTGGCTCATTGTGCCTAGGTTCTTCTGAATACCACATACAAACTCCCAGTAAATTAGATACTTTTTCTTCAATTATATTCCCATTCTCCTTTAAAGATATTAAATAGGTTTCAGGGAAGACTGGAATGGAGAGTGTTTTCTTTGGTTCAAATCCAGAACTGGTAACAGAAGAAGGTGATTCTCTTGGGCAGTTTGCTTCAGGGAAAGTGTGGCGCGAGTCCTTTTTTAGAAAGCAAACTGTAGATGATTTCTTCCAGAATGATCTGGCTCTAGAAAGATAAGAAGAAACCAATAAACTGGGGCCATGTGGTTACCAGATGCCCAAAGCTCTGTGTTTATGTGTTGGGAGAAGGATGAGGTGCACCCCCATCTCCCTCTCTTCACAGTCTGTGGCTCTTCATCTGCTCTGCTGTCTGCTGTCTTCTCATGACACACACACATAAACAAACACACTGGGCTCCTACTCACCTCTGAGCAGGTCTGCTTTCTTGTTCCCTGGCCAGTTGCCAGCTAGCTCTCCATCTCCACCCAGCTTCTGGAAAATACTGAGGTGATTTCCATGTCCTGTTGGCAAGGAATGCAAATGTAATAAGCTTTTAGGAAAATGCCCATTTGGCTTTCAGGCATTTGCATTCATGATGCTCATATGTACTTGAATGGAGTCCCTTCTGTTTTTTTGTTGCAATGCTTGGATGCAAAAATTCAGTGTAAAGAAATGTGGATCAATCCTTCTTCTTGGAGGTGTTTTTGTGGTTGTTTTTTTTCCTGCAGGAACCATAGTATTGGATTAATAGCAGTTGCACAAAGTGCCCCCATGTTCAGCTGTCTCTGAGGAGTCCTGGACTTCTGCTTGCTTTGTTTCCATGGAACAAATGAGCTTCATTAGCAACCGGCACACATTCTACCCTTTTGCCTGGTTTCTGACACAGAGCGGAAATGGAACCAAATCTCGGCCCTGCACGTAGTCTGCTTCAGCTATTTTATTGCAATTATTCAACATTTCTCCCTGGGCCTTGTTGGTTCTTTCTGTCTTAAAGGTTCTCTTCAGAGAAAGATACTGAAAAACAGTATGTATTCTAATAAATGTCAGCATTAATGGAAAATATGTCAGATGTAACCACTATGGAGTTGGTAGTTAAAATATTATCCCTGTGCCTTTATAAAGGAAATGGTGTGACATTTTCACAAGCTTTGCCTCACCTGATTCTCCTAAGAACCTAGGAGGTAACAGGTATTGCTCGTCTTTTACAGATAAGACATCTTGGCTCAGAAAGCATTTGTGACCTGTTCAAGACATAAATTATTCATATGACCCCAAGTAAAGTGGTTTTTTTTTCCCCCTATTGTCTTTGTTATTAATGATATTTTAAAGTTAGTGATCAAAGTAAGAAGACAACTGTGATATTTATGTTAAAACCTGGCTATATTACTGGGTACAGTGAAACAAGCATTTTGGAAAGACACCCACATCTAAGGCTATCCAATAGCCTTCTTCAATGGAGTCTCTCTTATCTCCTGACTGTGAGATCACTCTTCCATTAGTCTTCAGACTTACATGTGGAGCAGAGCAGCCCTGAGCTGCTCAGGAATGGTGAGAGGGGTTTGAACTTGGGAGCCTGTCACAGCTTCCTGCCAGCCCCCAATGTTTCAAGGTTTATTTTTGCAAACTTATTATCTGAACTGCTATATTGACTCTGGAGACTCCAATACAGTAAAATGACCTAAAGAGCCTAATGATAGGGAAGATTATGAGCAAGGCCCTTTTCCTTTTTATTTCTTCTTTTTCTTAAAGTTTATTTATTTATTCTCTCCATGAGAAAGAGAGACAGAGAGAGAGCAAGTACTCCCCTCCCCCCCCAGCAGGATCTTGATGCTGCAATCTCTCTCCAGCCTCAGCTAGCTCTGTATCAGGAGCACATGCATGCCGATGCTGCAATCTCTCTCCAGCCTCAGCTAGCCCTGTATCAGGAGCACTTGATGTGCCCAGGGAGGTCTCTGGACCTCAACCAGAAACCTTCTCTTGTGAAACTGCCTCGCGGAGATAGCAGCATTTGGTTGTTATGACAGTCTCTGGCCCCTGGGTCCTCTTCTATGAGTTTTTCATTCATTAATTTACTCTTCACAGTAACCCTTGATTATCCCCATTTTTCAGCTGGTAAGTTTGAAACCAAGCAAGTACTTTGCCCAAATTCCAGAAGTAATAAGCAGAAGAGCCAGTTCAATTTGAATCTAGTGCAATTCCAGAGTCTGAGAAACTCATCATTTCAACATGGTGGCCCCAAGCAAGTCATTAAGGGCAAGTCCTTTATTTTACAGATACAGAATTGAGATCCAGAGAGTTAAGTTTATTCTATGAAATTGCTGGCAAAGGGGTTTTCTAAGAAACTCACATTGTCACTAGAAAAATTTCCTAATGGGACAAGAGAGTTGTAGAATATACCACATCTGGACCTGACTTCTGAAAGAAGTAACCAATGTTCTCTCGGATATCACTGATTCCCATATCTGTGAAAGGAGAATGCTCCCTTTCCCCCTGAAATTGACAGAGGACTTTCCACTGTAGACTTCCAAAATTCAGTCTAAGATCAAAGACTTAGTATTTATTATGCGTTCTTATTTTCTTGAGTGAAGATAGGCATTAAACATTTCTAGTTGGATGGATGCGTGGCTGGACTACCCACACAGAGGTATATGTTCCAAAAGTGGTCAAAGGAGCATGTGGCATAGGAACGGATTCACTACAGCAATTGAGAAGCACTTAATTTTAGATTCATACAAATGTAGTAATAGCTTTTAGGAAAGCTTTATGAGCCTGAAAAGTTGTAGGCTGCATTTTGGAGAGGTAAGTATATGCTGTGCACTTAAAAAAAAAAAATTAGAGTCACGAGAGATCCATAACTTCAAAACATTTAATAACCATGATTATAAAGATATTTAGTGAGGTTATTTGTGCATAGCTTTTCTGTACGAATAAAATGGCAGATTATGAAAACACTGGTTTTAGGAGTTTCAGCAGTCATCATTATCTACACAACTTTTTTTTTAATTGGCTATAGGGCATGTATGCTTACCAGAGAAAGACAGAGAGAGAGAGAGAGAGAGAGAGAGGGAAAGTGAGAAAGCACTCCCGTGAGGATGGCCATGTTGCAATCTTTTCTCATCCAGTCCTCTCTCAGGATTTTGAGCACACACGCATCCATCCCTGGTTTGTTTTCAAGCTGGGCCCAGGACTTGAACAGCAGTTGGCCATGTGGGATCCAGCCACCTTAACTACCACACCACTGGGTGGCCCTATATAACTTTTCATTTTATTACTTTTTTTTTCATAAATGAAGTTGATTTAAATAAACTGTCTTATTGAATGTGTTTACAGACTGGATTTTTCCATCTACCATATGGAGATTTTTTCATTGAGCCTGTGAAAAAGCATCCACTGGCAGAGGGAAGGTATCACCCACACATCATTTACAGGAGACAAAGGCAGAGAGGTCCAGAGACAGAGGAGGTGACCTGTGGATTAAAAGGTATTGTGGCTTAAATATTCTCACTGGCTGAGGACTTTGTTTTATTCTTTTGATTGTTTTATTAAATCATGACCTCTTCTTATTCAAGTTTATTACCTGCTCTCTATTTTGTTTCCAGGAAGTATGTACTCTCTGATAAGTTATTTTGCTTGTTTATACCCAAATATCTTTATATTCTTAGCGGGAAGGGGAAAGCATCTTTTATATATCCATGCCATATTAGTTAACGAGACTCACAAGACATTCATAATGGCGAATTGGAGTAAGGGACAGCAGCAACTGTTTTTGAAGCTGACCATGTGGAAGGTTTATACCCAGAGACCTTCCTGAAACATGTGTGCCCATGATCTGGGGCTGGCTGGAGCTGGGGGTGGATGGTAGCATGAGTGTCCTGGTAGGGATACCACTCTCTGTCTCTCTCTCTCTCTCCGTGTCTCTCTCTCTCTTCATCTCTTTGGCTCATGGAAGAAATAAAGAAATATAAAGTGGAAATAAACCTCTTTTGGCTATTCTATAGGAAAATAGTTTAAATTAAAGACTGATTTTCAGGCACCAATAGTTGAAAACCGATTTTCAGGGACCAACAGTTGGCTATGTCGCTGGACTCCCTGTAGTCTACTGTTGTTTGAGTCCTGGACCCAGTGGCTTAAACTCATGTCAGGTGCGCGTGTGTGCATGTCAAAGATCCTGAGAGGAGACTGGAGGAGAAGGGATCGCGGCGTGGCCATCCCCCCTGGGGGTGATTTCTTGCTTTCTGTCTCTCTGTCTCTGTCTTTCTGGCGAGGGCACACACCCAATAGCAAAAAAAACCTCTCTCCCTACCAAAAAAAAGACTGATTTTCAGTTTTAGTGGTATTATAATACATTAGTATGGAATATTTCCAGACAGCTTATTGCATCTGCATATGGAGGGCTGACTTAAATGTTTGATGGCGTGTGAAGAGAAACTGAACAAAGAGGAAAGCCACATTATCAGATGATGAATTCAATAGTTTCTTGGGACTGCTTTTGTCTGTTGTTCACAGCCAGGATCCCTGGTCTTAAGCCCTGGGAATGATCTTCTCTGTTCTCTCTGCCTTGTCCTAAATAGTTTTGGATACGTTTCAAAGATACACTGGGTCGAGTTACTTGCTTGCAACTCCTGCCTTCTCTTTAATGTGTAGGGATAATAGACTATGCAGGAAGAGCTGCCAGAAATTGGGACATATTTTCTTAAATATGTATCGTATGACTTCTCTATTTTTCAGATGAAAAATAATACCACAGAAACAATTAATAAAATACATCCATAATATTATTGATATATTTTATGGATGTAGAAACCATGCCCCTTAAGGAGAAAATAGGTAGATGATGAAGAAGGAAGGAGAACTGAATCCTGATAAGGGTTGGGGGGAGGTGGAGGACTCAGAACGAACTTGAGTTTGGCAAATAGAATAAAAGGACAAGGCAACAAGTACCTTACACACATGCACATACACCTACACACTTATATGCACACACCCACATAAACACACAATACATAAACATGCATGGAAACACATCTACACATTAATATGCACATAAACACACACAAACACACGCATCCATAATTACATACTCATAAACATACTCTACAGACTTTACTTCCCCTCTCTGGTAGACAGCAACGTTTCAGAAATTCTTTTATATAATCTTAGCAAACTATTTTAAAAATAAGAAACTTTTGAGTCTATCATGTTCTCTGTGTCCTAAAGAGACAGCTGCTTTAAATCCTTAACTTTAATAAGGTATTGCAAGTTTGTCCTAAATAAGAATCTTCTAAATCTTCTAGCATGTATCAAGAAAGGAAGAGATGGGACCAGCAGTTAGCATAATGGCTATGTCGCTGGACTCCCACGTAGTTGACCGCGGTTCACGTCCTGGACTCTGTGGCTTAAATTCACGCCGGGCACGTGTGCGTGTGTGCCCAAAATCCCAAGAGGAGAATGGAGGAGAAGGGATTGTGGCATGGCCATCTCCCCTGGGGGGTGATTTCTCACTTTCTGTCTCTCTGTCTCTCTCTGTCTGTCTGGCGAGCGTACGTGCCCTATAGCAAAAACCTCTC